AGTGTGTTTTAAGCAACAGTCAGAAAGTTCATGATAAAAACTCCCTTTCTCCTTGACTAGAATGGTTCTTTCCACTGTCAAGGAAAGAGCTGCACTCAGAGATGAGTGGAATGGCAGCAGGCACAGTGGTGGGTGAGGATGTGATACAGATAAAATCAGATCCAAGTTTGCTTTAGGGATCTGAACATTCTGCACAAGACTAGCTTTGAAGTGTTTACACAGGAACATTGCCCCCATCCCCAGCCTGAAACCCTATCCCCACATTGATACAACAGGGAAGGAAAATGTTGATTACATGGAAAGTGTTTTGACTGTTATGTACGTCAGTAAACATATATCCAAAAGCCAACCCAGAAACCTGTGCCCAGAGTGTGCGAAGCCAGGAACCAAGTCTTCTTAAAGACACATCGATCAGCTCTACTCAAGTGACTGTCCTGTTAATTTTGTCAAGTCCCTTAATAGTCCACTCTGTGATTCCTCTTCTGATTATTACAGTTAAGTTTTATTTATGCAACTTGACTTTTGAGGACATAGTAATTAAATGACAGAATAGGAAGAAAGCACTAAGGACAAAATGAAGTAAAAAAGAACACAGAAATCTAGGTGCTCTGGTCTCGATAGAAAGAACTAGCATTAGATCAGGAAAAGGCACCTGTGCATTGCTTCCCCAAGGAAAATTCACACAGAAGTGTGACTTCTAAGAGGGTGTTTGGAAGTTTAAATCAAATATTTCCTTAGCTTCTGCAAGAATTTGAGAACAGGGCCGTAGAGAGATAGCTCAGCAGTTAAGAGCACTGGCTGCTCTTGCAGAGGACCCAGGTTCATTTCCCAGCACCCACAGGGCAGTTAACAGCCTCCTGTAACTCCAGTTCCAGGGGGTCTGACAGCCTCTTCTGGTCTCTGCAGGTATTGCATGCACAGGTGCACTTAATGCATGCGGGCAGCACACTCATTCACATAAAATAAAAATAAGGCTTTGAAAGCGTGCATGCCGGCCCCAAATCCTAAGCCACATTTTGTTGCTTCTGCCTTCATTTCTTATGTTGCTGATACTTTTTACTATGAACAGTCGCAGGCAAGGGCTTTTCTTACTGTCTATAAATGCTTCCATTTCAAGCATCCACAGACTCTCAGTAAAGCATTCTCATTGAAAGAATTAACACATGGAGAAGGGCAGGCTATGGAGACACTCACATTCATGGGGACAAATGAGCAAAGGGAGAGAAATGCACGAGTGTCTGCTCATTGTTAACTGAGGCAGTACCTATAGACGTTCATATAGATTTCAAATTCCTTGACTCTCATGCCTCCTGAATCAGGAGCTCCCCACATCTATTGATGCAGTAATAGCAATTGATGCAGGATATGAACCCAAATCATTTGGTCAACCGATTATTGTTTTTTAAATATATGGGAAAGTAGTGGGATGATCACGATTCATGCCGTCTCCCCGGTGTTTCCCTTAACCGATTCACCGCAGACATAAGGCATTTTTCTGTTAGTAATGTCCGTTACTCTGGATGCGTCTCTTTCTTTCCTTGTAGTTTCATTTACCTTTGTTGCTCTATCACACACTGTATTTCATATGAGTAGATTCTCAGTGTTGGATTTTGTTCAGAATTCTTTTTTAAGCCAAAGTCTCAACCAGTGATTCTGTGTTTACGTACTATCACATGCCCTTTTTTTCACAAGGATAAGATTGGTTAGTGGATTCAGGTATCTTATGGAAATTTTAATTTTAATTCTGTTGTATCCATACAAAGCTGCAAGAGAAATGCATCCTCAGCCTCATTTATCTCACAGGGGAACTGAGGCGCTGAGATGTTCTATAGGTGGCCTGGAGATAGTCTACTTGTGATTAGCAGAGTGGGATGTGAATTGGATGTAGTGGGCTCCCAGTCAGTGTTCAGGATGACTGGGATAGAAGGTATCATCTCCTTTCTTACCAAACTATTCTCAGATTTTTTGACTCTCACTTGTTTGGTAATCTATGCATCTCAAGTTAATTTACACATTTAACTTGAGAGTTAGTACTGGGAAAAGTGCCAAAGTGGGAGGCCCTTTTGCTACCTTCGAGCCATAGATGAAGGGATGGAGAGATAGGCCAGTGGAGAAAAGTCTCCAGGGTCACTTCCACCTGCCATGTTAAGGCTTGACTCTTGTGGCAGAATCATGAAGATTTGGGATCTGTTAGGAGCAGGCACTATCAAGGGGGAAATGGAAATAATCCAGGTCCTTTTACTGGGCAGTGGGGAGGGAGTGTTATACAGGGGAGAACAATGACAAAGATAAATAGTACTTATGTGGTGTGATTAAACGAAATTGGGAAATGTATAATTTCATACACCTACTGAAAAATACACATATGACATATATGTGAGTACATGTGTATAGCTGAAGTCTATATAACAAAATTCAGTGCCAGGCAAGGGAAACCTCCCTTCGAGTTGTTGGTTTTGACAGTCCAAGAAACTCACAAAATAATATGTTTTATTGCTGTAACTCTTTGTTGCCTCCCAGAACTTGAAAACAAGACCCTGTTGCTGAAGACAAAACACTTTTGGATACAGGACTTGGAGCAATTGAGCTGGAAGTGACCTGGAAGCCTTCTTCTGGAAGACTAGTTCTCACAACATCAGAAGGTGCTATGAAAGTCACAAGGGAATCACTCAAGAAGATCAATCAAGCTGGGTCTTATCGAGCTGTAAAGCCTGATACCACAACAACGACCAGCCCAACAAATTATATCTATTGGTATAATAGTGCACTTTCATCTTGGGGCAACCAACAGCTGTCTAATTGAACCTAAGGCCCTTTTCATACGAGGGAATCCATGCATGGTACTTTAAACATAACCAAGTACACGTAGCTGGAGAGATCATACATCTTAGAGAAAAACTTTTACTGTAATTTCTTACTATTTCCTAAATACGCATCCTTGTATTCACAGGTAAGTGTAGTTCTCACCAGTCATCAGTCATCAAAAGCTTTCTTTTCCTCTTGTTTTTAAACACATGGAAACTATTACAAAGTTTCACAACTGATCAAAATAGAGAAAGTAAGGGATTGTGTGATACCTCGCCCTGATTGGTGCATCTACAATGGAGCCCTTGCACCCAAGGCTCAGGGAATGTTGAAGACTAGGGGGTGGAATGATTGTAAGAACCAGAGGAACAGTACATTTGCTGCTTGATGTATTCCAGACTTGATAGGGAAGTTGAACCCATGAAATCTCCACACTATGGTTGCCTCACAAGACCTGCATAATGACTTCAGTTGACATGCCAGTGTGGATGGGGAAAATTTCACAGGGTCCCACCCCTCAATGAAGAGCTACAGGCATCAGTGACTGCCAAGGGAGGGATAATTCATTTTCTCCAGAGATGAGCTCTCTGAGAAGTTATCTAGTCCCAAGTGGTCAGCCCTAAACACATATACTACAAACACCACTAAATGAACTCAGTTCAATGTGTGTGTGTGTGTGTGTGTGTGTGTATAAATATATGTTTGTATAAAAATCATAATAAAAAAGAGGACAATTGTTGTGGTTATTATTAGGCTTTAAAGCTGGAGTTGGACCATTGATTGATGTTCTTTCTTAGCAGCTTAGATAGTGTCCTCCAAAACTATGAGAGCTAGTCTTCAGGGAGGAGGCTTCCAGTATCTCTATTATCTTCATTTCCCCCTTGATAATATCTGTCTCCTATGTTTCCCCCTCTCTTGAACTCCTTCTTTCCCTTTACCCTTATGGTTCGTGCATAACCCTCCCTCTTACCCGCTTAGTTAAATACCCCCATTTTACCCATGGTTATACCTGTCTCCTACTATGACCAGGATAGCAAACTATATTGGTACAGTAGTAGCCCTTTTATCTTGGTGATAATCAACAGTTACCTAATTGGACTTAAAACCCTCTCAATGGGAGGGAATGCATGTGTTGTATCATAAGCATAACCAAATACACATGGTTGGAGAGGTCATAGATCTTAGAGAAAACCCTGAGTCTGCGACTGTCACATCCATAGACAAATATAATTTCTTACTGTATGCTAAATATGGATCCTTACAAATATGCCAGTCCCCACTCATCAAAGAAGCTTCTTTTGCAGCAGATGGAAACATTACAAAGCCCCACAACTGGTCAAGCACAGAGAATAAGTGTCTGTGAGATGCCCAGCCCTCAGTGACACCTCTACAGTGGTACCTCTACACTTTAGGCTCATGGAACATAGTGGAACGGGGAATAAAGAGAATACTAATATATCTCTCAACTCTGACCAATGAAGCTTCCTCATGCAACAGAGGGTGCTGCACACAGAAGGCCACAACTAGAACATAGTGAACAAGGTGTTGAGAGAGTACTAATGCATCTCTCAATTCTCATCAATCAAGCTGCTTCATGCAAGAGAGGGCAATGAACACAAACGACCACAAATGGCCAATGTGTAGAGAATAAAAGTCTGCAGAGTATGGGTTCCTGTACAGTACTCCTATATCAAACTTCATCCAGCCAGGGACCAGAGACCATTTGTGGAAGAGGGACAGAAAGACTGTAAGAACCAGAGAAGGAGATGCATGACTATAAGGAAACAGAGCCTTACAGGCTCCTAGGACCTTGTTCATATGAACTTTCTGCAATGATGACAGCATGCACAACAGCCATGTAAACTCAATCAGGCAAAAACCAGCATAGAACTGGGGAAATGGGAAGGAGGCCACAACTTTGGCAAGCTATTGGCAACTGACCACTGCTGGGTAAGGGAGAGCACTGGGGAAATGGGAAGGAGGCCACAACTTTGGCAAGCTATTGGCAACTGATCACTGCTGGGTAAGGGAGAGCTGGTCTTCTTTAAGGGAGTCACACTAGACCAGCTGAACAGGCTCCAGTGGATGAGCTCACACCCACACCGAGGGACATCTGGGTACACAAACTTGACTCAGTCTTCTTTAAGGGAGTGACACTAGACCAGCTGAACAGGCTCCAGTGGATGAGCTCACACCCACACCAAGGGACATCTGGGTACACAAACTTGACTCGGTAAGCCTTAACATATATGACAGAATGCATGAAATCCTGTGGGCAGGCTATTGGGGAGTTGCAGATAGGGAAGTGGTGATAAATATGATTAGGGCATATTGTACGAAATCCACAAAAATTGAATACAATTTTTTTTTTAAAAAAAGGATAAGACCTTGAAAGGAAATGGGGGGGACATGAGAGGTGTTGGAGTTAGTGAAAATATATGTGTGTGTATATATATATATATATATATATATATATATATGAAGTAACCAGGTCATGGGAGTCTATTGAAGGAATTAACATAGTTGCTGTAATAGTGTTGCTGTGAGAGCAGGTTTTTGTAAAGTCAGAAAATGAGCAGGTCTCTCTTACCACGTGATCAGTTTCTCCATACATTAACTTCCCCTCTGCTCTTCCATGGTGCATTGAACAAAAGATGACTCCCACAAAAAGCTGAGCAGATAGCCCCACCATGCTTTTGGGCTTTCATAACTAGATAGTAAATAAATAAACTTCTTTCTTTATCTTATCAATTATGCAACTGCAGTCATTTTTGTTTGGGCAACAGAAAGCATTCATGTTAAGTTGGACTAAGACAGTAATCTATAAAGATGTGTTTAGTTTCATTTTACAAAAACATAATCTAAACTACTTTAAGGAAAAAGGCTAATTGATTTACTTAAGTTACCAAACTATGGGAAACAACAGAGGTGAACTGGTTACAGGGAACGCAGGACCCAAGTGCTAGAATTCCACTGAACTTTGTCTCCATTTCCCAGACTCTTCACGGATGCTCCTTTCCTGTTTTTATGCTGGTGAATCCACAGAACAGGAAGTGTGACTACAAGAAGCTCATGTTCACTGTGTAGCCAGAGAGTAAAGAGAACCTTTTCTTGTCAACTCTAGTGGGAAAGAGTCCAGGGAAGAGCTCTGATCACCTGGCCTGGAGCCAATTCCTACAGCCAGGGAACAGACCTTCAGTGGCCACGTGTTCCTCTGTCACCAGGAAGACAAGGTCTGTTACTAGAAAAATAAAAATAAACCTGGCTATGGGAGAACTGGTAACTGTGAATTGTGTAGATGCTTCGGTTTGTTTTTTCCGCATATTCTTGTACGTGTACTGATGAGTGTATGTGCAGATCACGTGCCCATGCACAGCTGTGGAGGCCAGACGACAATGCTAGGTGTTATTCTTCAGTCATCTTCCTTCCTTCCTTCCTTCCTTCCTTCCTTCCTTCCTTCCTTCCTTCCTTCCTTCCTTTCTTCCTTCTTCCCTCCGTCCCTCCCTCCCTCTCTTTCTCTCTCTCTCCCTCTCCCTCTCTCTCCGTCAGATGCAAGGCCAGTTATTAAGGTTGTTGAAGAGAGGAGGATGAGGAAAAGGTTCTTTCTTTCTTTCTTCTTCCTGTCTCTTTGGCCTGGAGGTGGCTGAGATGCTTGCTTGCTGTAATCCCAGCATTGGAATTGCAAGTCCATGCCCACAAGCTGAGATTTTTTTTTTTTTCACTTAGGATCTGGGGATTGAACTCAAGTTATCAGGCTTGGAGGCAAGCAGTTTACTGACTGAATTATCTCCCCAGGCCTTCATGCATTCTGGTTAAGAAGAAAAGGCAGCTGATGAAATTTAGAGAAAGGTTGTTTTTGTTAAATTGAATTTTTGTGTATAATTTGAAGGTATTTAAATCCCCTTCCCTATCTATGCCTCCCCTCACTGCCCCTGCCCAATTTAATGCCCAAATCCTGGGATTAAGGACATCATGCCTGGCGTTATCCCTTCTTTTTAGAAAGAATGATCCAACACTCATAGGAATGGAATGATTTGCCCAAGATCCAAATTATTATGGTAAATATGGAGTTAAAATTTGAATCTATGCTTTAACGTGCTTTTCCTCAGTACGGTATTCTTCGGTACTACAGAATCTGATGATAGAGTCATAAAAATATCTATATGCACAAAATTTGTAACAAAGTAAATGCTACTTTACAGATATAAGTCAAGAACCTATGCATGCCTGTGTCACTGGGTCAAAGTAGAATAAAATTCCAGGTTTATGTATTGCTAAATAGTACCTGTTTTATTTTCATCAGACAAACCCCAGTTGAAGGGCACCCTGGCTGGGCTAGATGGGGCCCTCCTTTAGTCCCAGCCCTCGGGAAGCAAAGGCAGACGACTCTGTGAGTTTGAGGCCAGTTTAACATACACACAGTTAGAGGCCAGCCAATGCTACATGATGAGACTCTATCTCAAGAAAACCAAAACCAAGATATCAAACCTACGCTCTCAAAAACTGTGAGTCATCAGAAATCATTAAAGACTGAGATACTGTCACAGGCCAGAGGAGAGAGGAGGCCAGTCCGAGACTCATTAGTACAACTGTGGGCAAACCCTAGCCGTGGTGCACGACAGCTAAGAAAATCTGCATAAATAACCTCCCTTTTCCACTTCGGCTTCACCTGCCAAGTGGAGATATTGCTTGGTGCCTCACTCACAGTGGGTTTGCCTTGAAGATTAAAATTTAATAACTCAGGTAAGATTTTCCGTTTTCTCCAGGGCACATTGGAAGTTATTGATTACACTTGGTGCTATCAGCAGTCTAAATTCTTATTCCCAGTTCTGCCTCTCACTAGCCGTGTGTGTAGGTCCTTTAGAGACCTCATCTGTAAGTGGAAAAGTGGCCGTCACCTTACTGAAGGGTTTGGGGGATTTAGAGAGATGTGCAGTAGACATGAGATAAATGAAGGTGAATTTTACCAGTTTCTGAGCTGTATGGAATGGGCACAGGAATCAGTCTTGTCTCGTATTTAGCATGTTTACTACTCATCGTAGAATGTGAGACAACCAGATTCAGGAGCAGGGTCTGAATCTTGGCCATGCCATTGTTTGGGGCCTCATTTAGTAGCATTCACTTTAGAAAAAGAGGGGAAAGGCTGAAACTTTTCTGTGGAGGAAGTCATCCCAAGAAAATGTCAGTCACATTTTGACAAATGCAATCATCACGGGAAGGTGCATGAGCAAGTTTTTAAAATTATCAGTTCTATGGCCCATGTTAGTTCTCCGATTCTTCTTTCCAAACATATCCATTCACGGGCATCATCACTCAACAATGGAGTGCACTGAAGACTTTTTAGGCACAGAAGACTAGAGGCTTACAGTGCTGCTCCTTCAAATGCTCCTCCTCTGCTTAGTCTCTTAGGCGCGCCTGTTTTCTTTCAGACTTGCTTATGATTTTTTAAATCCCTTTTATATTCCCCACGCCTTAGTCTTTGTGGCTGAAGCAGTCTTGTGCTCCTTAAAGGTGATTTTCTCTTGATCCTGAAAACATACAAAGACCACATTTTGCAGATTCCTTTGCAGTTAGATGCCACCACTGAGTAAACCAGAGTCTACCAAGTGGAATGTGGGTAGATGGAATGCATCCTGGTGACTATGCCCATAATAACCTCCCAGGGTTGTTCTTTCCCTTCCACCCTGTGCTGCCCAGATGTTAAAGTCCAGGGAGTGTTGACAGTGTAACCTGGCTCCCAGTATGTCTATGCAACAGAACTATCCCCAGCTCTAATTGATGCCTCTACCCTTTGTCATTTGGATCGTGTGTGTGTGTGTGTGTGTGTGTGTGTGTGTGTGCTCTTATATGAGTGAGAAACAAATTTTAGGTAAGTGAAAATAACTCTATGTGAGTGAAAAATAAACAAATCTCCATCAGGTGAAGTCAGTACTATTACAACAGCCAACCTTTCAAAAACTAATATGCTCCTCTGCCCCACCCGCAAGGGTTTCTCCATGTCTGATATTGTGTTCCTTTAAATCTCACTCTTCCTTATTGTAATGACCAACACGGATCTTAGTGGCAGTTTCCAATTTGTACATTCGAAACCCATGCACTACTCAGAAAAGAAACCTTCAATGACAAAGAATGGAGCCCTTTAAAAGGGAGAGCAAGGTATTATTTTCTGTGACATATATGTATCATTTTTCATGTAATAAATAATCATAAATCACTGATACATGCTCTGTGCTTCTGTAGATACTAGAGATACAGCAGTGAGAGTCAAAACACTGCCCTCAACAGCTCTTAATTCAGTGCCAACACAGACAACAAAAGTGCAGTTCGGAAGTCATAGGACTTTATGGAAGCTGAATCAGAGAGTGAGCCCTCATGTGAAGGGCCTTCACCTTAGAATATAGTTAGAAATTCTATTTGTCTGCCCTTATTTTGAACATTGTTTAATGACAAAACTGTATAACCAAGTTTCAACAATGTGAAAATTGCCATTGTTCCTATAATGTGAGTTTGCCATTTACTCCCTTTCCAAATTCTCCAATCTATACAAAGATATGCTATCATGTTACTTCTTAAAGCAAGAAATGCTGATAAAATATTTTAAATTAAAATAAAAGGTCTTTACCTACACAGCCCCTCACCATTCCTAATAGAAATAAAGAATATGGAATTTAACTTGGGAATCAAGAAGTTTTAAATATTAAAGACTGAGAAGGAACCAGACAAGAGGGAGACAAAGGATATTTTTGTAGGAGAATTGTAACTAAAAAGATAAGGAGTTGGTATATCTTTATTTTATTTAATTTATTATTTTTATTTTATGTGTATGAGTGTATTGCCTGCATGTGTGTTGTGTGAGTGTATTGCCTGCATACTTGTGTTGTGGAATGCCCACAGAGTCAGAAGAGGGCATCAGATTCCCTGGAACTGGAATTATGGAGGGGTGTTAACTGCCTTGTGGGTGCTGGGAATCGAACCAGGACTGCTTTAAGAGCAGTCAGTGCTTTGAACCACTGAGCCATCTCTCCAGCCTCAGAAGCTGATATGTCTTTCACAGAGACTGTACTTTAGGTCAAATTAGAGTGAAGGGTAAATTCCTAGGGTATTCATATGGTATGGGTTAAAACTAAACCAGCTCCTTCAAAATAAGTTGAAGAATAATGTGCATCTGACACCATCACCTACTTGCTAACATACCATGACACAATTTCCAAGGCACCGTAACAAAGTCACAGTGTCTGAGGTGGAGGAAATTTCAGTCTGCTCACCAAACTTCTACACATATCCACTGATATGTGACCTCCTGGGTGTTCCTAGGGTCAGCTTTCCTGTACATGACTTTGTTGAATTCCTTTCATGAAGAACCATGTGACTCAGGAGAATGGATTAGACTTCACTGAATTGACCTACTCTCTACAGAAGTAGAGTACCTCTTGTTTATAATTAATTTTAGCATATGAATGTGACTATAGGATGTTCACATGTATATTTATATGTATCATTGTACTTTGCTCATATTCACCCCAAAAGTGTTTTAGCGTCATCCACGTTGTTGTTCCCTTTGATCCTTTTTACCTACACAGTCCTTTCTTTATCCTAATGGCTTTGATTTAAGTGACCCGCTATGATTTGCTGAACAGATTTCATGACCTTAACATAGAGGTGCAGAGCACGAGGTTCAGAGAACTCAGATAATTGGCCTTTTGTTGTTGCTGTTGTAATGTAAGTGGCTAAGCCAGACCCAGAATTGCCATCTAACAAATATTTTCTAGGATTCTGATATTTTGAGATGATTTTTTTTTAAAGTAGGGTCTCCCTAGAGCCCCACCTATGTAGACGAGGCTGTCCTTGATCTCACAGAGATCCACCTGCCTCTGCCTTATCAGTGCTGAGATTAAAGTGCACCACCTCTCCTGGAAAACTTTATATGTTCTTAACATCAACACCTTCCTGCAACTTTGTATCAGCTGTTCCTTAACCCATTTTGCTGATTTAGATTGAAATAGTCATTGAAATCCAGGCTTTAAAATGAATGGGACCCTGCACTCAGTACCTGCTTTGCAGCATACTTAGCAGGTGACTAACCTATTAAATCATCAGGTTTCTTATTTGGAAATAGACTATTAATGCTTTCTTTGTAGGACTGTTGTGAATGAGACCCAAGTACACAGTTACTGAACTATGCCAAGAATTATTATTAACTTGATTTTTCTTTTCAGTTACTAGTGATTTTATTTTAAAATTTTAAATGTATTCAGAAGTAAGCAGAATACCTTAGTGAGTCAT